CATAAAGCTCAAGTAAATAAGAACCTACTCACTAGCAAATTTGTATTTGTTCGCGTCGATGCCATTAGAAAAGGTTTACAACATCCATATGAAGGTCCTTTTCTAGTACTTAAACGCACCGAAAAATACTTCACGCTGAACAAACATGGTAAACCGGAGACTGTTTCTATCGACCGTCTTAAACCAGCGTACACCGACAGCGAACATGAAACACTAGCAACGCCGACACCAATAAACAATCAGCAAGTCAATGCAACTCCAACTCTCCCGCTCTTCACTCTTCCCCCTGTACAGACACGCAGTGGGCGGCAGATCTGTAAACCTGCCCGCTATGTTCATTTCATTGACTGACATAAACGTTAACCTCATTTAGACATACTTCTCATTACTATTGTTGTTAACATTCACTTCATTATAACCATTAATATTTATTAGTATTATTATTTGCTGTTCGTCAACTGTACTGCAAGCACACGCATTCACCACGTATATGTGTATATCTATTTATATATGAATTTCACAAATGTTAACAAACATGTCATGGTTTATTATGTACATAAATTTTTATTTAAAATTATAACAAGTTTTGATTTTTTTTTAAATTCCTGTATGCGCTTGTATGTGCTAAACTTTATACGACACGGATGCATTCCATACATCCTGATCTAACTTTGTATCCTTATTGTTGTTATTTTTTGTTATCCATATTGTTGACATTATCCCTTATTTATGTTGCTTATATTCATGTAATCGTCCACGAGGGCAGTACTGATGGTCCTCCGGACCTCTAAGAGGGGGAGCCCTGTGGAGTCCTCAAAAAGAAACTTATCCAAATTTTACTACTATGTAAATAATGAACATATTGTACACCACTTTGTTTTAACCAGAAACTCTGTACTTTGACTTTACCTCGGGTTTTGAATAAATATACAGCTGTGCCTTCGACTCTCCGTCTTCTCCACCATCTCAACTGCCGTCGATCAATCCTAATCACCTGCTTTCTATCTCTGATTTTTGCAGGAGCACCGTAGTTTCTTCCTACGTACTTTGGTCGACCTCCGGCAACGTTAACATTGGAGAATTACTACTGGAGCAGTCTTTCCGCAGCACCTGGAGTCTATTACGTTTATTGTGGACTGTGGACCTTTGTAAACTCAAGTAATCAAACTTTAATACATTCTTCCCGTAACTAAACTCATTTGGTATTTTATTTTCTACTTGAATTTGGGTAACTAAGCTAACAGAGTGAAAAGGTCCACCACAGATTCCTAGAGTCCCGAGGGCCCCAACCCGGGAGTCTGCATCTCCCTACCTGACTCAGTTTAACTGTCAAGGATTTCATGGATTGATGCCATGTTTTTGTTTGGCCACCACTGGCTCTTTTCCAACCTGCAGCTATATCAGCTAGCAATGCCCGTCGGGGGAGGCGGTGGTTAGGCACGCGCAGCACGTGACCTAGCCATCTTAGTCTATGTAACTTTATAGCCTCGTCGATTGATTTTCCCTCTTTACCCAACACTCTACGCCTAACGTCAACATTACTTACCTTATTAAACCACCTAACGTGAGAAAGAGATCGCAGACATCTATGATCGAAAGCAGTCAACCTTTTCATGTCTTCAACGCGTATTGGCCATGTTTCAGAGCCATAGAGAAGGACGGAACGAACTGATGAACAGTACACACGTCCCTTGGTTGATAACCGGATGTCACGCCTACACCAGAGATGGTGTAAGTCAGTGAAAGCAGCTCGAGCCTTTCGGATCCGTGCTGAGATTTCATCGCCAATCAGTCCGTTGGTGCTAATACAACTGATTGTACAATAATCGAACAATTTAAACTTTTGAAAAAGTATTAATTTATGATACTTCACGACTGCAGTTTATAACATAACTTATTATACCTGTGAAAATGGCATTGATTCCTTGTAAACACCCGTTCATACGACATATTAAATTATTATTGTTCACTTGGTGCTATACTTTAGAAGATGACCAATGCATGTGACAGTGAAAACCACAGAAGAACGCTGTCATGACCAAAGAATGAGGAAGGAGAATGAACCTTTACAGTAAAGGTAGGCAAATATAAAGCGTTCAACTTTTGTATTACTTTTTTCTAACTTCATCGATTTAGAAAATACACTTTATTCACTTATTTGCAGGTGTCGGGTAACGTCAGTCAACTTGATCACAACAATTTGACGTCGCCAAAATAATTACGACAGACAACTGTGTGAAGACATTTGCTTGTTATTATTTTTCATTAAATATATTTAACATCCTGCTTACCATACTTTTCTTATTCTGTCTGAGTGAGACTAAATTTGTCACCATGACGAGATGGAGGCCTGACTTTTCAGTGAGACCTGAGAAAGCACTCGGTGGCATAATTCAGTGTCAGTGAAATATTACGACGATTGCCACAGGTCTATCTACTCAATTATTCGTCTCATATAGACTTCATTTTGCAGTATAATCGTATGGACTGGCATCACGCCTTAAGTGAAATAATAGTAATGCACTACTTTTGAATACACTTAATCTTATACGAAATCGAACTCCATCGCAGTTGCCTTGAGGATAGGCAACACCAGGCAACTCTTTGGACTCATCAGGGAAACGGGTGGGAGAAGACAAATCATTAGTGAGACAATCTCGGAAAAAAATGGCACTATAATTAGCTCACAGGATAGACGACTGGATCGTTGGAAAGAGCATTATGAGGAGCAGTTTAATTTGCCCACAGCCACGCTCAACCTTCCGAGCATCCAACACCTCCCTGAATGGGATATAGACACAGGTCCTCCGTCACTAGCTGAGGTTACTAAAGCTGTCACCAATCTGAAACTAGGCAAAGCAGCGGGACCTGATGGAATGACGCCAGAGGTATTTAAGTACGGTGGAGACAGCTTACTGTCCGGATTAACTGAGGTACTAGGCAGCGTCTGGGAATCAGAAGAAGTCCCATCGCGTTGGTGTAAGTCACTGATTATCCCCATATACAAGAAGGGAGACAAGTCTTCCTGTGATAATCACAGAGGGATTAGCTTGACTAATATAGTATCTAAAGTCTTAGGCTCAATAATCATGCGTAGACTGAATGGTGCTCGGGAAGCACAAACACGAGAGAGCCAGGCAGGCTTTAGACCAGGAAGAGGGTGTATTGATCATATCTTCACCCTCCGACAGATTCTAGAACATAGGCATTCCTACCGGCGTCCAACAGTCATTATATTTCTTGACCTAAAGGCAGCATTCGACTCTGTCGATCGGGAAGTTCTCTGGAGATGCTTGGCTGTAAAGGGAATGCCGAGAAAATATACTGCACTGATTAAGGCACTCTATTCGTACTCATACAGCCAGGTGAGGGCTTACGGCGAGCTGTCATCTGAACTGATGACGACCAGTGGTGTCCGTCAAGGATGCCCATTATCTCCTTTTCTATTCAACTTCATCATAGACGTGTTAATGGACTTAACCCTAGGTGACTTCAGTGACTCAGGAATTGACTTGCTACCGGGGAATAATCTCGTTGACTTGGAATATGCAGACGATATAGTCCTTCTAGGCGAAGACGCTGACGAAATGCAGAGTCTTCTAAACACCTTGAGCGGCAATCTACGAATGTTTGGCATGCGATTCGCTCCCGCCAAATGCAAGATGATGTTACAGGACTGGACTACATCGACGCCTAGTTTAAAAATAGGAAGTGAAATGGTAGAGCACGTTGACCGCTTCACTTATTTGGGAAGTACCATCAGCCCCAACGGGCTGATCTCTGACGAAATCTCAGCACGAATACAAGGGGCTCGTTTCGCATTTGTTAGTTTACGCCGACTCTGGCGTAGACGAGATGTTCGACTATCGACCAAAGGGCGGGTGTACTGCTCATCAGTCCGCTCCGTCCTCCTTCATGGCTGTGAGACCTGGCCACTGAGAGTGGAAGACATGAAAAGACTAGCTGTCTTTGATCATAGGTGCCTGCGTTCTATTTCCCGTGTAAAGTGGCATAATAAGGTGAGCAACATGGAGGTTAGGCGTAGAGTTCTAGGTAAACAGGAGAAATCAATCGACGAAGTCGTGAAGTTACAAAGACTGAGATGGTTAGGACATGTGTTACGTATGCCTAGTCATCGCCTCCCTCGACGATCAATGTTAGCGGATATAGGGTCAGGCTGGAAAAAAGCTAGCGGCGGTCAAACAAAAACATGGCATCAGTCAATGAAATCCACAACAGTTGGTCTAAGTCACGTAGAAAGGTGTAGACTTCCAGGCTGGGGTCCTCGGGACGGTAAAAATCTATGGTTGGAAACAATTGGTGACATGGCTCAAAATCGTTCTCAGTGGCGCAGATGCATCCACTCCCTGTGACTTATGACCTTCAATGAAACTGTTTTGTATTTCTTTATTACTCCTTTGTCTCACACCTCTGCTCACTGTTTCTATTATGCTTTTCTTGTACTTTCTTCTCTTGCTTCGCGTGCTACACGGAATGTGGCGACTTGAACTTCCGCACATTTGTGCAAAGTTCTATGTCGAAAACAGACAGAGACAGAGGTTCTATTCCTAGGCTAGGTTATTTTGCGATTGATCCCTACAGATTTACCTATGGCTGGGAGACGTATTCGCCTAAATTTAGGATTGCTTACAGTACTAACAATTGATAGTATTCGTAGAGAATTTCACTTACGTATAGTAACGAGTTCATATCCTAGGGAGTAGCAGTCTAGCATGCCGTACCCCCACCACATGCAGATCAAACAGAACAAAAGGATATTAGATAAAAAAATTTATTTCCCTGCAACACAAACAAGTTCGTTTACATGTGTAGGCTGAGCAAAGTCCAAGATGAGTCTTCGTTTGGGAAGTATCTTCCACCATTCGACGGAATCTGCCCAGTGTCCAAGTTGCGTCAAGCTTAAATTCTTCCGCAATTGAAGTGAACAGAACTGTACGCCCACATCCAAAGTTATCCTGTATCACAAACTGGAAAAAGGAATATCTGCATGGTTATAAGTGAATGAGTGAACTTACCTTCACTTGTTTGTGTATGTATAATCAATTCTTATAACTGATTATGCAAATGTATCTGGTCATAAGTCGTAGAACACTCGTCAGTGTTTACTTGGTGCTATACTATACTATGATAATTTGATCGAAAATGGCTATCCCAGCAAATTTATCAAGAAACACATGACAAAGAAAACGGAAAAGGACTACTCACTATCCTTAAAAAAGAAGCCTCTTTATATACGACTACAATTCATGGGCGATATACCAAGCGAGATAATTGCGAAGAAATTAAGAAAATCAGTTCAAAGAACTTTTAATGCTGGCGAACTACACGTATTATTCTCTACGCGACCGATGGTGATTCCTCGACTGAAAAATGAAGTACCTAGACTAGCCACTTCTAATTGTATCTATCAATTCAACTGCGCTTGTGGAGCCAGTTATATTGGCCGTTTTTCTAGGAACTTGATTTTTCGTGCTCGAGAACATCTCCCAGCATGGCTAAGTAAAGGTGTAGTGAAAACTATTAACAGCTCGATACTGGAACATCTGGTGCAAACCGGCCACAAAGCCAGCGTAGATGAATCCTTCTCTATATTATACCGGGCGCCAAATAAACTGCCAAAAACATCGAAGCACCTCAGGCTCCAAACAGCAGAGGCTATTGCAATTCGCCCTAAACAACCAGTGCTCTGTATCCAAAAAAAGGAAGTCCAGCCCCTGTTATTGCCCTGGCCTTCAGTAGAAACCATAAACTCATGAATTTGTAATATTATCCTTCCTAAATCTTCTGACATTCAGCTTATTTTATGTCGATGCGATTCAGCTGTAATCTATCAATATTATTGGCTCGATGTTATTTAAACATTAATGTCGTTCATAACACTAATTCATTCATTCACTATAATGTATGTATAAATGTAGAGCCTGATGATGAATTTATCGAAAAGAGTACTCTTTGGTCAGTATCCATTCTTTTTCGGATTTCTTTATCCGAATGTGACTACATCTGCTTCCATTGAATTTAACTAACTGACAGACCTCATTACGACTCGACATTCCTAAATGTGATACAGATTAAGTTACATAAATTAAACCTTTACATAATGAACATGCATGCCCACGTATCATTTGAGTATCCAATAAATTAAGTCATCCTAGATTACACTTTGAAAAGGGAGTTAATTTTATACACTCTTGTTTATTATTGGCTTTTGTTGTGTTATACGCTCCAAAAGTCCACAGATTTAACTTTAAATCAGTTTATTCTGATCGAAGTTAGTTTACGTTTTAGATTTCAGTCTATTAAATTACAGGAAGTTGTGTTCTTATAACTAAATAGCTACATTTATCTATCTTTGTGCACTTATTAGCTTTTATCACTGATTTATAAAGGTTATATATATTTGAAGTTGTATTTAATTTTTTCTGGTTCGTTTTAAATAAAATGCCTATCAAAAGAAACCGCTGCGGAAGGGCTATGTCCCAGTTTCCAGTGGATGAGGGAATGCAGTGTGATAACTGCGAGAGATGGTTTCACAGTATGTTACTCCAGCAGCATACAAATGCTGCTGCAAACCTCTAGCAAACTGGTTGTGCAACGACTGCTGTAGTACAACTAAACTCCGTATTACAGAAGCCATTGCTACTCTCAGTGGGGCTTTAAAGCTCATGGACTGCAAGCGTCCTCCACCACAGAAAAATACCGACTATTGCTCAGATAACGATGACGTGACTAGCGTCATAGACAAAACAGCACATGTCCCCGATGCGACCTTGCCAATCAGTGAGTGCCCTACAGCACAGAACACCCACCACATTCCAGACACCCAGGTTGCCCCCACGATACTGGATAAGCCCTCCAGTGACAGTAATGGAAAGACTGCCGTGAAGAAGAGGCGTACCAGGGGTCGAAAATCTGCAGCTCCAGTCGCCTAAGGACTGGCGGAACAAGCCTCATCCACACCGGTGAGCAACAGACAGATAAACCTCATTGCGATTAGCGAGGAGGACACCAATGAATGGCGCCATGTAGTCTCTCGCAAAAAGCGAGATAAGGATAACACTCTGGCTACACCGCCCAAGAAGGATAGAAACGCACTTACGCCTCAGAGCAAGAAAGTCACGGAAAGCAAACCCGATCTCTCTGACAGGTCCCTCATTCTCTACAAAGTGGAGGAGTCACTGGCCCCCGATCCTAAGGCCAGATTCGAGCATGACCTTAACTTGGTCAAGCCCCTTTTAGACAAGCTACTGCCACAAACAGTATCAGGAATTACTATACACAGCGCATACAGAATAGGCCAAAAGCCTGACACTACAGTAAGTGAGCCTGTACGTCTCCTCAAAGTCGTACTAAACTCTAAAGCAGCGAGGGATGCTATTCTAAGCAACTCTCATATTCTCAAAGGATCAGGGATATATGTCCGCACTGACTTAAGCCTAGCAGACCGTGTCAAAAGACTGGCTGCGGCACTAGAATTAAGTAAGCGACACCGGAACGGCGAGAAGAACCTTAAGATTAAGGGTTTTCGGGTTGTCCGAGTTCGCAGTTTAATGATCCCGAAACCTCTGTGAGTGGGCCGGGGAAGCACCAATCTGAATTAACAGTCTGCTACACAAACGCCCGCAGCCTGTTAAATAGAAGGACTGAGCTGGCTAACATGATAGAAACCGGAAACCCGGATGTAATTATTATCACAGAGACATGGCTCACACCCGATGTCACTGACAACGAAGTTAACCTGCCAAACTTCGACGTGCACAGGGTAGACCGACTAAACCGTAAAGGAGGTGGCGTAGTCATCTACCTCAAGAAAGGCTTAACCGTGCGTGGTATCGAAGCACTCGCCCACGAAAGTGAGTCGTGCGAACTACTACGATGCAGACTTAAATGCATAGGCCAAGACATTGACCTCATTGCTGTGTACCGCAGTCCTGACTGCAGTGCAGACGACTTCCTAATAGAGAAGCTAGGCTCCTGGACTTCGAAATGTCGAAGTCTCGTAGTCGGCGACTTCAACGTCCCAACAGTTGACTGGTCGAGCCTAACAACTCCATCTTCAGTCAACTCCTTTGATCATAAACTGCTAGAATGCAGTATATCGCTAGCCCTAGTCCAACATGTCATTAAGCCCACGCGCTATGACTCACAGCACTCCTGGTCAACTCTGGACCTAGTGTTCTCCCACAGTGAGGATGTGGATCGCATACAACATCTTCCTCCGTTAGGAAGTGACCATGCTGTGCTCACTTTCAAGATCACAGCAACGGCAACAAGGGCCAAAACCCAGCTCGACCAAACGTTTGGAAAGCTGATATAAGTGTGATCGTCTCAGCAGCCAACTCAGTAAACTGGTACATCAATCCAGAGTCCCAAGTAGAAGCCGCATGGAACCAATCTAAGCAACTTTACGCCCAAGTAACTGTACCTTTCATCCCTTGGTCTGTTCCAAAGGGTCGGAAACATTCCCCCCCCCCTTGGATAAACCGGGAGATTCGTAATTTTCTAAGTGTTGGTGCTAGACCTAAGATAGTCCTCGATACCACCGAACTTACTAAAAACTTCACCGTCTTATGACTTTAACAGTACTCTACCTGACGTGTAAGTACTGATTAACTCAATCAAAGTTTAAAGGCTAAAAATGGAAAGAATTCTTAGTATGAGTTGTATTTAACGTAACTGAATACAGATTTAATAAATAAAGTGACTGTACAACTTAGCTGCAGACGTTGCTGGAGGTAGGCTCGGAGAGTGTGCAGAAAGAGAGCACAACAAGAGAGCGAACCAATGAACGTACGGAAGACTCACAACTCAAAAGATAAAAAGTGTATCACCATGGGTGAGCGAGTTTAAACAAAAGTTCAAAGATACAATGTGCACTACAGGTTATCCCCCCCTAGAAGGTTGGTGGGAAACCAGCAAGCTTCGATATACAAAAGTAGGATGGCTTGGCACAATAGCAATGAGTGAATGCGAAGGTTTGAAGATCCAATATCCAATATCGTTTTTACGAGCTAGTATAAACCAATTTGATTTCTTTGTGCTCGCTTCTTGATTGTGAGGTATAGGTTCTTGATCTTCGGTAAACTTCTGCGTAGCTTGTCCCGCCACTCGACTGTCGTAGCTTTGGTTGACTCCAAAGGGAGTAGTGCTGGGATTAATTATATGTGGTTTGTAGTATGAGGTATGTTAAGACTGTTACTACTGTGATTGGAGTTGATCCTTTCGCCAGTTAGTCCTTCGGTATTGTCGACAAGAGAAAAGAGATAGTAATAATAATAATAATAATAATAATAATAGTAATAATAATAATAGATATAATTAGTGAAGCTATTCAGACTAAGAGACAGAAACGAAAATAGGAAACGTAACAACAGTCAGCTCATGAAGTTTGAAGAATAATATATATATCGGTAATAGTAATAATAATAATAGTAATTATAATATTAATAAGTTGTCAGGAGAGTAAGACGGGAGAGAATGTAAAGAAGTAAAATGACGAGTTTAATTATCTACCCTGATTGGTAAATGCGATTTTAAGGAGATAGGCCATTTGGATGCAGTCCTTGTATCGCTGCATGGTTGTCCAGCCTTCGCTTAAAGGCGTCCAAAGACGGTGCCATAGCTACATCTGCCGGTAAGGAATTCCAGGGACGACAAACCCGCAGTGAAAAGAAGTGGGAGCGCACCCGGGTCCTTGCCCTCTGGTGAGCTATCCTTCTGGGATTTCCACGTGGAAGCCTATACCTACTCAATGGCAGAACACCTTTGTTTGGGTGATTCTGGTCATTTGTTATTTTGTAGGCAGTAATCAAATCCCCCCTAAGCCGACGGTAACTAAGTGTGAACAGGCCTAATTTCTTCAGCCTTTCATCATATGGTTTGTTTCGGAGACCAACCACTCCTTTTGTTGCCCGTCGTTGGACTCTTTCCAAGAGGTTGGCATCTCTTCTCAGCATTGGGGGTGCAATAATATTATGCACCTCAAGGTGTGGCCTGACGTATGTTTTGTACAACATTAGAAAGAGCTCAGGAGTGAGTGCACCTAACTGTCTATGCGTAAAGTGTATGACCGCATATGCCCTCGCTACATCCCCTGTGTAATTTACGCTTGTGTCCATTTTTTCCGTTAGAACTAGACCTAAGTCGCGTTCCGACGTTGTGCAGGACAAGCTTTCATTGCACAGGGTGTAACTTGCATTCTGCAGTCTACAGGTGCGCAACTTCACTACTTTGCACTTTTTCAAGTTGAAAGTCATGCCACTGGCCACCGCCCAGTCTTCCAGAAGGTTTAGGTCTTCCTGTAGCCTATCTGAGTCCTCCGGACACTTTATCGCCCTCCATATTTTTACGTCGTCAGCGTACAGGAGAGTCGGGCAGCTCAGACGGCGTGGTAGATCATTGATGAAAATCAAAAACATCAGTGGTCCTAGGATAGAACCCTGCGACACTCCTGATGACGATCTGTGCCAAGATGATCGGACTCGGTTAACCTTAGTGCAAAATTGCCTGTCGGCTAGGTAGTCCTTCAACCATGACAGAAGTGGCTCACCTATGCCTGCCTGGCTTATTTTATGTAGGAGAAGGTCATGGTGAACAGTGTCAAATGCCTTCTCAAAGTCTAGGAAGACCACATGGACTGGTACGTTCAAGTCCCAGCATGATGTCCAGTCGTCCCAAGCTGACAGTAGGTTAGTGACGCAGGATCTGCCTTTTCTGAAACCATGTTGGGCTTCATGCAGTATATTAGTCCTATCGAAATATTCCCTGATGTGGTCGTCAATAATACTTTCCAGTACTTTTGATACCACTGGGAGTAGAGCTACTGGTCTATAGCTAGCAGCGTTTTGCCTGTCCCCACCCTTGAAGATTGGAGAAAGGATGGCTCTTTTCCACTCCCTTGGCAGGGTCCCCGAATCCATTGAGTGTTGGAACAAGTCGCACAGGGGTCTACAGAGAGCCTCGGCGCACTGTTTCAGAACAGATGGCCTGATGTCATCACAACCTGGGGACTTCCCAGGTATGAGTCGCTGTAGCTTCCTTAGTACTATTGCGGGGTTTATTTGGGGAGTAGTCGCTAGGTCTTCCTCCTCTGAAATAGTGGTGCCACCATTTTGGTCCGTAACTGTAATATCCACATTGCTGTTTAGCTGTTTAGCGAAGGCTGAACTGAATGTTTCAGCCATCTCCAGACTAGTGAGATATTGACCGTTTGGGCCTACTAAGGCGCATGCCCCTTGGTTTGTCGGTTTTCTTTCCGACATGAATCGGTACAAGTTTTTAGGGTTTGATAGGAGTTTTTTAGCAAGGTTAGCCTGGAATGACCTTCTGTCCCTCCTAACTCTTGCATTACACCGGTTCCTGAGTTCGAGGTATGCATCATGGTCGGTCTGACTCTTAGAT